CGGACGGACACACCGGCCGCCCCGCCGGCCGGGCTCGCGCCGCCCGCCCGGCGCCACTACAGCGAGGCGGCTGCCGACCGGGAGGACGACCCCAACTTCTTCAAGATGGTGGAGGGCTTCTTCGACCGCGGCGCCAGCATCGTGGAAGACAAGCTGGTGGAGGACCTGCGCACCCGGGACAGCGAGGAGCAGAAGCGGAACCGGGTGCGCGGCATCCTGCGGATCATCAAGCCCTGCAACCATGTGCTGAGCGTCTCCTTCCCCATCCGGCGCGACGACGGCTCCTGGGAGGTCATCGAGGGCTACCGGGCCCAGCACAGCCAGCACCGCACTCCGTGCAAGGGAGGTGAGCGTCCCCGGCTCGGTCCCTCCCTGGCCCTTCGGCTGCAGGCCTCTAGCTTTCTCGGGCCGCTGTTTACATCAGTCCAGCCCAGCCCAGCATGGGTGTGGTAGGCTGGGAGGATAGCGATCTTTTTTTTTCTTCCCCTCCCTAAAATCACCACGTAGTCGGCCCGCCTCCTTTACCCCGGGAACGCTCACCCGGGGGCCTCTGCATCTGCTGGTGCTGGATTCTGGAAAAGCGGTGCCAGTCTTTTTGGAGCTACCTTGTCCCTCACCCAAGGTGGGCCTTGTCGAAATTGCCTTCCTACAAAAGTCAGTGACCAGCCCATCTGGTGCTGCCTGGGTGGTTATTGTGGGGGTTCTTAATGACTCACCTCGAATGCAAACTGAAATTTTTGATTGCTTTCCCCTCTCCCCAACAGTAACAGATGATATAAGAACACAGAAAAGGACTCACCTTTTAGGTTTGAGGTCTAGGTTTGAAATCTAGACAGTTGTATCAACCAAAGGAATCTACTAATCAAAAAATTTTAAAAATGAGCAGTGAAACATCTCTAACAAATAAACACCGGACAGCCTGACATTAAATCTAGACTTCAGGACAACCTGCCAGCCAATGGAATGAAATAGCCCTGGGGGTGTGTACCGGTCCTGGCTAGCACCAGATCGGAGCGTCTGAAAAAGTTACCAATTAGACGTCACGGAGCTGTCTGGTAGTTTAAACTTTTGGAAGTTGGTAGATTTAGTTTTTATAGTCAAGATTGCTTTCTTGGGGCCTTTTTCATATTGTCCCCCAACAAATTGTGCGGTATATACGTATGTAAAGATGCTTGAAAATAACCTACAACAGACAAGATCACTTCTTTTTTCATTTAAAACGAGGAGAGTCTTGCTGGCGATGGATAATAAACATTAAAGAGGTTAGGCAAGGCCTTTTGTCTGCCTCAACCTTTTCTAGTGCTTTCTAATACCAGCTGGTTTATGGGGGTAATTTTTAGAAATCCTTTCTCTACCCAAAAAAACTTAAGCTTGAAGAGAGTTCCCAGCTTGGGGTGGGGGTGGGGAGGAAAAGAGACAAAGGTTGCTGGTAAGGATTTAATGATTTACTAAATTTACATTGACTCCACCCACTTCGAGGTTTTATCTTTGGAGTTTAATTGTCCTTTGGCTCAGTTTCCTCTGCAAAAAACTGGTGGGACCATTTGACCTCTAATTTCTCTTCTAACTCCAAAATTATCTCCCCCCCCCCCTTGCTTTTCCTTCTACCATGCCCTTATTTTCCAAAACTGGAATGAAAGTTTAAAATCACATGAAAAGCAAACAAGGATATTGGAGTAAGAGACTATGTCTGCCCATACTAACGTTGCAGATTTTCTTTACAAAGGACACCAAATGTATTTCACAATCTTAGTTTTGCTACAGAATCTGTTTTGGTCTCTGAAATTCTCTGTGTTTGTTCTGAGCCCAAGTCCCCACAAATTAACTAAAAACACCTCAAGTTTGCTAGTTTGTCAGTCCTCTTCCTCTTGTTGCCACAGCAGTTTTAATGCCAAAATATTAAACCTAGCAACAAATTGCATCAACTTTCCTTAGCAGAGCACTGTTACTGTAGAACTGGATTGTGCTAGAATGTCTGATAGTTTCTATTTTGTTTATCCCATTTACAGCAAGTATAGTACTAAAGATGTTTTACCTGGACTGGGAAACTGATTGTAACTAGTTAAAGTAGAAAACATTACAAAGTGATACAGTGTCAAAGAAAATTGGTCACTGTACATTAATACATTTACTTAGTATCTTAAAGAATTTGAAAGACTGGATTGAGGATTATACAGCTGTGAAAGCCTTTAGAAAGATAATAAATAGGTGGTTGGCAAAATTTAGGAACTGTACTGTAAATTTCTGTGCCTTGCTTTGAGAACATTCAGGATCTTGGGTGCAATACATTTGTTATCCTTGTTCTAGTACAAAAAAAATGTACTCTCTAAGCAGGACTATTTTAGTGGGACAAAGCTTTTTTGATGTATAAGAAGGTTGTTCAAAAGGTGGCTGCTGTGCTGGGCACCGGTGGCTCAAGCATGTGATCTTATTGATTCAGGAGGTTGAGATCATGGTTCAAAGCCAGCAGGGCAGTTAAGTATAAGAATCCATTTCCAGAATAACCCGGGGGGCAGCAGCGGGGAGGGGCATGGTGGGGAGAACTGGACTGTAGGCCTGGCTGAAATAATTAGTGTCAGGCCCTGAGTTCAACACCAGTACCACCACTAAAGTAATACAAGATACTATTGGGCTGGGACTATGGCTTAGTGGTAGAATTCTAGCCTCGCATGTATGAGGCCCTGGGTTCGAGTCCTCATTACCACATACACATAAAAAGCTGGAAGTGGTGCTGTGTGTGGCTCAAGTGATAGAATGCTAGCCTTGAGCAAAAGAAGCTTAAGCACCAGCACTGGCAAAAAAAGAAAAGGTACTACTGTGTTGTTCACACCTGAATTCTCAACTATTTACTTAGGAGACTGGGGCAGGATAATCACTTCAGTCCAGGAATTTGGGGCCAACCTGAACAACATAGGAGACTAAGTCTCAAACTTCAGGGAAACAAGTAGTTTAGACACCTGGAAGTGGCTGAGTAATTTATTTTAATAACACCAAAACATTGTTTTGTGCATCTCTTCCCTGAATATCATATTTAGTGGAGGCCATTGGATTTTCAGACATTAAGGATGTACAGAATGGGTAGAGATGTAACTCAGTTGGACATGTGAGCATTTGTAGAGAGAAAAAAATATGTTATAGGCTCTGTAAAGATGTTTAAGTGAAGCTTTAAAAAACGTTTTCAGCATAGATGAATATTGTAAGAATAAGTGATTTAGGAGCCTTGTTCAAAGATTCTGGTAACATTGGAAAACATTACACAGATTGTCCTATTTGATGTGAGGGTAATCTTGCAGTATCTGTTACCCCAATGGTTTCCAAGGGTTGATTATGCTGATCCAGCCAACTAGTGGGGGTCCCCTTCTTCCCTCACCACTCCCAATAGGGCTTTTTCCTACATTAGGTACAATAGGAATGTTGTCAGAGTGAACTCTTTCTTAAATCATTTACCATTGTTCTGCAAAGGACTATAGAAAATTTATTACTTAAAAGTTCATTTGGGTAGGGCACCAGTGGCTCACATCTGTAATCATAGTTACTCAGAAGGCTGAGATCTGAGGATTGTGGTTCTAAGCCATCCCTGGCAGAAAAGACCCCACCAGACTCCAATTAACCACTGAAAAAACAGAGGTAATACTTTGGCTCAAGTGGTAGAGCTCTAGCAGGTGGAGGGAAAGATACAGATTGATAACAATGACTCATTGATGTCCAAGTTAATCTTCTTTCTCTTCAAGCCTGTCCCTCATTGTCTTTATTTTCCTCCATCACCAATTCTATATTCTAAAGTTATCATCATTTAAATATGGTGGATGGGAAATTGGCAGTGTGCCTCAAGTTACACACACACACAGAAAAGAAGTCTACATATGGTTGTTGGGCTGTGGACTAAACCCTCAGATAACACTGACCCCAAATCTTTTACTTAGATAAAAATAGATTGATAAATACATACACACACTCAACTCATTTCACACCCCCAACCCATTGAGTATAATGGCAAAAAAGCAGCAGTATTAAGTAGATCTTCGCTCAGTGACAGATGGCCAGGCCAGATTGGAGAGTCCATGTGGGCTTGGGTAAGACTGCACAAAGCTTGGTGCCTTTTAAAATGAGACATCTTGGGGCTGGGAAGGTGGCTCAGTGGTAGAGCGCTTGCCTTGCATGCCTAAGGCCCTGGGTTCGATTCCTCAGCACCACATAAGCAAAAAGAAAAAAGATGGAAGTGGCATTGTGGCTCAAGTGGTAGAGGTGCTAGCCTTGAGCTGAAGAGGTAAGGGACAGCACCCAGGCCCAGAGTTCAGGCCCCATGACTGGACCCCCAAAAAAGCAAAAAACAATAAAATGAGACAATCCTGTCTTTACCAGTAGGAAAAATGCTTCTGACTTTTTTTAACCTGCTGAACCATCATCAACTTGAGAATTTGAATGAACATCCCTTCTAATATTTTGAAAGCATGCTGCGTCTGCATCTTGCTGCCACATGATAAAATGTACCTGTCTGGTAGATTTGAAGACAAGTTATTTGTGTATCTTTTAGCTCTTAGTTCAGAGGCTGCTTATAATACTTTTTAGTTAAATGCAGAACTGTTTACTCCATTGAAGCCATATGTCTCTTCCTTCCACATATACTAGAGAATACAGAAAAAAAATGTTGGTAGACTTGTATGCTTCAAATAGTTCTCGTTTTGCCTATGATTTATGTGAGTCTATTTAGCAACTTTGCTGTGACAGTAAAAACCCCACATGTGGTAAAACAAAGATTGTCACTCATTATTCAAGGTATACAGTGCAAGAATTAGGACACCATCAGTTGAAAACTAAGCACCAGTGTACATTATTAAATGCCAATAAAATTGGTATTAACATTTAAGGATAAGAAATTAAGTTTGAGGTTTGCTGGCTTATGAATAAGGGAAAATTTGGATTTATCTGATAGTTACCAGTGGCCCATACCTGTAATTCTAGCTACTTAAGAGACTCATGGTCTGCCAGAATATTTTGTAAGAGCCTATCTCGAAAATAACCAGCAAAAACAGGGTTGAAGGCATGTCTTATGCAATGGGATGCCAGTTTAGCAAGTGTGAGGCCCTGAATTCTAACTGCTCAAAAAGAAAAAGAAATTGGATTTACTACTATTGTTAATTTAAGTTGCTTGGGAGCATCTTTATGTTCACTAATACTAGAGATATCAAAGATTTGGTTTGCGGTTGATAAAGACTAAAATACTAACCAATGTTGAAAAAAAAATATCCAAGGCACTAATTCCACTTCTCTCTGCTTCTCTTTTATTTTGCATAATAACCGTCTTTCCAGTACAAGTAAAAGAGATATTAAATCTGTGTGCTTTAA